AAATATATGTATATATATGCTTTGATCTAATAAAGATACCGGCGAGGCTGCCGATAATTGGAAAAAAAAAAAAAAAAGTAGAAAGAAGAATATAAAAATACAAATAATAAAAATACAGTAATTCTATTAGCTGTAAAAATATAAAAATACAAAAAATTAATCTTACAATTTGATTTGTTAATATTATGTTTTTTTATACAAAATTTTAAAAAATAGAGATAATCTGGTCTAATATAAATATACATTATGTAATAGATAACTTTGATTCAAGTAATTATTTTTTAATATAATATAATTATATATTATTTTTAAATATAATTGCATATTTAATTAACATTGTTTGTCTAGAACTAATTTAATAGACAAATCGCAAATTATTTAAATAAAATTTTTTTTATATATAAATTTTACTATAAGCCCGAAAGTGGAGCACTTCTATCTAAAACTTTTTTCTTATTAAGTAAATCACTCTTGCTTCTAGCAAAAGTTATAAAGTTTACAAGATGCATTTACTAATAGAAGAACATTAAAATTAGGTTAAGAAATCTTAAAAAACCTTTTATTGATATATTAAATTTCTTTAAAAAAATTTAATTTTTTTTATATATCAAAAAAAGGTTTTTTAAAGATTTCTTAGACCAATTTTAATATTTTTCACCATTAGATACATTTTGATGAGTTTTATAACTTTATTAGAATTCAAAGAGTGATTTATTTAGTAAGAAAAATGTTTTAGATAGAAGTGCTCTACTTTTAAGCTTATAATAAAATTTATATATAAAAAAATTTTTTGTTTAGATAACTTATAATTTGCCTATTAAATATATTAGAGTTTTAAATTTTTTATATTAAGTTATTTATTTTTAAATCTTTAATTAAAGTTATAAAGCGGGTGTGGCGACTTAGTGAAGTGGTGAAGTTGTTACACCCCCAAGCGGTAGAGTATAAGTTCAATTCCCACGGAAGGCGAAAAATTGAATTTAGAAAAACGGATTTGGCAACTATCATCGTGGCTGGGAAAACTCAAGACCCTATAACTGTGGTCGTACCAAGATAAAAATTGGAAGGTTCTGGAGTATTTGTGTAATAAAGGAGTTATACAAAGGCATGCAAGCCGGTTTAGTCAGTGCAAACCTAAGATAAATCCTTCAGAATCGCAGAAAGCCACAGGGCCAATATGGCAGTGGGGTGCTTGCTTGGGAAGTTCCAAATAGAGAGGTAGCACATATCTTCAACGGTACTACATGCAGATTAATATTTAGAGAACCGGATAAACTGAACAGGACTGAAGTGTTCAGCAAGGCACTCCACCAACCAGGCCACCAGAGGAGTAACCGAAGGAAAAAGACCCAATTGTGGAGACCAGGAGCAGGCTATAGCCCTTCCGGGCCATCTGAATTGGTAGTTTGGGATAGCTGGGATGACCAGAAAACATCTGTAGGTGTACTGGGCTTTGGGTGAACTCTATAAAGGCAGTAGTAGATAACTGTAACGGCCTTGGCTCGCAAGTACTTGTCCTTGGACTCGGCGTAAGTTACCGAAGAAGACTAGGTAATACGAGAATAGTGGATACCGGACTGCTCTAGCAGGTGATGCACTCGAGGATGAATCAGTTAACCATGCCGGTAGTCCTATAGGTGGACACAAAAATCTTAGAACTTGGACTGACTTATGTATCGCATGTTCTGGGTGAGATTAGATGAATTGATATAGGAAACTCAGCTCAGAGGGTTTAATTAGGTAATTCAAATAATAGTGGGTTACAGGTACGGCATCTAGTGTAGCACCTAGCACATAGGTAGATTACTTAATTAGGCACCCAAAAGGCTAGAATGTATCCTCTTCAGAATGTACCCCCTTTAAAAGGGCACCACATAATCCTAATATCTAATAAAAGCGATAAGCCGAAGAGGCTAACCTTGACTATAAAAAAAAATTAAAGTTATAAAGCTTATTGAGATGATTCTAATAATAGTTAAATCATCAAAATTGACCTAGTAGATTGCGAGATATTTTTAAAAATGTTTATTAACTATATAATAAAAAAATAGAATATACTGAAGTTTGGTCGTCACTATGACAAATAGCAAAAATGTGGTGAAAATACCAATTCTCTACTTTAAATATATTCTAAATTATACTTTAAAAAAAAATAATAATACATTTTTTTTAATTGCTTACTGTACCATACTGTACCCAAAAGAAAAATTTTTATAAGGTACACAAATTATAAATCTAGTATATAATTTAAAATATAATATTAACTGTACCATACCTAGGTAATAAATATTTTTATTAGGTACAGTTTTTAAATTCATATATACTATATTGTGTATCTATTAGATACACAAAAATTACTAGATACATATAGGTACTTTAAAAATATACAGTATCTTACCCAATACCCAACACTGTACCGTACCAAAAAGGTATATACTCTTCTGCAAACTGCTATAATAGACTTATAATTATACACATAAAATAGCAACAGAAATAGAGATTTCTAAGTTTACACATAACGTATTGTATATGAGTACGTACTAATTTGCAAGTCCATGTAATAACAATTTTACAAATAAAAAAACTTCAAACTTGTGGTAAAATAGGTTTAGGGTTGGGTACGATTTTAAGATAAAATTTTTTAAGGAATTTTATGTTATACCGGATCTTGCATTCTGATTAGCTTTTCTATATACGTACGTACATACCTGTATACATTGGGGTGCGCGATATACTATATAAATCAAAACTATATGTGGTATTATACAAAAACTTAATATCTAAATTTATATATCAAATAATTTTACTTATAGTTTTTCGCGAAATTTAAATAGATGCACAGCTCTAACGGTTTATTATTTTGGGATAAAATTTCGCAGAGACCAATAGGATAACTCTACAACCAAAGTTACGAAGCCATTCCCTTTAAACACGAAGAATTTTAAAAAGTTGACTAAACTATTTCTTTATTTATATATTTAAATAAGAAAAATAGCTTCGTAGCTTTGCTTGTAGAGCTATAGTATTGGCCTCTACAAAATTTTATCCAAAAATATTAAACCGTTAAGGCTGTGCATCTATTTAAATTTCGCGAAAAATTATAAGTAAAATTATATGCTATATAAAATTTTAGATATTAAGTTATTATATGATGCCATGTATAGTTTTGATTTACATAGTATATCGCGCACCCCATGTATACATGTACAGTTACCTCACAAAGTTTAACACAGTTACACAAAAACATAATAAAAAACATACCAAAAAATTATTCAAAATCAACTATGTTAATATACGTATACTTTTTTGCATAAGGTTTTACGTATGCTTTTTTGCATAAATTTTTGTTTTTATTATGCTTTTTTGTGTAACCGTGTTATACCTGTACGTACGTACTGATAATTGAAAATGGGCTGAGATTGCGTAACATGTATGAAGATACGTACGTACGTACGTACGTACATGCTGTTAAATATGTAAATTAAACTAATTTGTTGACAATAATTTGGCTAAAATAAAATCGGTTGTCTAGATAAAAGGTTTGAATGGAATGGAAGAAACTTTATTCAATGGCCTTGTTTTGCCAACCGCGTGGAATATTGATGATAAATCACAGTTTGTTAGCATAGATTCAAGTGGGCTTAAAGTGAACTATACAGGTAAGATTAGATGTGTAATAAATTGTAATAAGAGAAATTTCTCAGAAATATATTATGTCATATTGTTAAAAAAATTTTTTTAAAAGATCCTAATGATTATAAAGCTGTTGTAATTCGAGCCAATAATCCAATTCCTTCACAATGCGGATTGTTTTACTTTGAAATTGAAATTATAAATAAAGGAAAAAATGGGTAATACTGTATTAATTATTGTCGCAGCTGATGTTGAAATTGACCGATGTTGAAATTTGGGGTCAATTTGAAAATATAAGCTCAGCAACCATATATACACTTTAATTTTAAATTCTAACCCAAAAATTCTAACCCAACATTTTTTCAAAAAAAAATTTAAAGTTTTCTTATCAAACATAAGTCCAAATTTCAGCATCAGCCACGACAATTATTTCATGTACTAAATCATTATTATTATTATTATTTTCATAATCGCTTCAATCCTATTTATTAATAGAATGATTAGAGTAGGATACTGTACAAAACAAAGCTATATAAGCGATTTCATGCCTGGTAATAACGGACTATTTCTGTTTAATTTTTATTATTACATATTAACGCTGTCAAATATCTTTTAGGATGGAAATATGAAGATAAAGAAAACAAGGAAAGTAAGTCATGGGGGTGTGCTTACCATGGTGACGATGGACATTTTTTTTGTTCCGGAAGTGGCAAACCATATGGACCGACATATACTGTTGGTGATACAATTGGATGTTATATAAATTTTAGAAATGACGATAAGATGATATTTTATACTAAAAATGGTATATGTCTAGGTAAATTCAAATTATTTTTGATATATATCGTTATTCTTAATGATTTTAAGTTAATTAATAAGGATATTAATAAGGATATGATATTTAATTATGTTTCAAGGAATTACATGTTATCTTCCTAATGATTTAGATAATTTAAAAAATAATTTGTATCCTTGCATTGGACTAAGATCGCAAGATGCGTTTGTCGAGGCGAATTTTGGACATAAAAAGTTTAAATATTTAAGTAAAGTTTATTTAACATTAAATTTCGATACATATTTAAACTGGTTAATAACTATAATATTTCTTTATGGATAGCAATGACTAATGATGATATTGGTAAAGAATTATGGGAAGCATGCTGGATCAATTTTAAAACCTTTGATCAATACGTAAACGAATTAAAAAATAAACCAAATGATACATTTGCACTAATATCTCGAGGAAAATCTTACTTAATTATAGGCAGATACAAAGAAGCATGTGAAGATTTAACTGGATTAATTAGATCACTAATAGAAGAGGGAGAAGAAGATTTAGCTGGTTTAATTAGATTGCTAACAGAAGAGAAAAAAGATTTAGCTGGCTTAATTAGATCACAAATAAAAAAGGAAGATTTGGCTGGTTTAATTAGACTGCTAATAAAAAAGGATGATGATGATGAGGAATGGGACGAGGAGGATGAAGAATGGGACGAGGATGAAGATGATGATGATGATGATGAGAAAAGAGAAGAAGAGGAAGAGAATGATGATGATGATTATAAGAAAGAAGATTTAATTAGCAGCTTAATTAGATGGCGAATAAAAAAAGAAGAGGAGAAAGATGATGAGAAAGGGGGGAAAAAAGAGGATGTTGATAATGATGAGGAAAAGGAAGAAGAGGATGAGGATGATGATGAGGTGGAGAAAAAAGAAATGATAAAAAAATTGGAAAAATCAATTACCGACTTAATAAAATTAAAGAAATCGTTAGTAATAGCACTAAGATATCGAGGAGAAATTAATTATATGATGGAAAGGTATGAAGAATCAATTACTGACTTGACTAACTTATTAAAAATTAAACCAAACGATGCATGGGCATCCGAAGTTTATGAATTAGTTGAAGGATTGTAAGTATAATATAGTCATAAAAATTAGTAATCTTAAAAAGACATAAACTTACATAGTTTAAATACTCATACCAGTCTGTAAGTAATTGGAGTCAAACTCGAAAATTTTAAACCAGAAATGTCGATTATATTCCAACAGAAATAATATAACATTAACCAATTCACATACAATACAATACCCTATATTACGACAGTTCGTAAGTAATACGGAATAAGAAAATTTTTAACTCAGAAATGTCGATTATATTCCAACAGAAATAATATAACATTAACCAATCCATATACAATACAATACTCTATATTACGACAGTGA